GAGTATTCAGAGACTCAAGAGTGATACCCAACAACATCACAGACACTGACCACAGACCGGTTGTCATGACTACCGACACACCAAATACATGTAGGAAAAGGCCAGAAGCAAGGAAACGACGAGAAGTCGTGAATCTCAGAAATGTAAAATGACGGTACCAAAGATAAGATACCTGAACATATGAAAAATGTATTTCACTTTCACAAATTGCTCGAAAAACAGGGAGACATTGAAGAGGAATGGAGCCACTTCAAACAAAGCATGAGTGAACAAAGCTTTAAAAGAAGAGTGCTACAAGCTAGCACCCCTGCTCAGTCATCAGAACATCCCAACCGAAGTGAAATCCCAGCTCCTCAACAGCATCTTCATACCAACGTTAACATACCAGTGACAAACATGGGTTCTAAACAAGGCACAAGAAAGAAAAATCGATGCATGCGAAATGAGGTGTTTCTGAAAAACCATCAACGTCACCAGAAGAGACCGCATAAGAAACGAAACTATACGTCTACACACTGGAATACCACCAGTGATCAAATTCATAGACCGTCAAAGAGTCAAATGGTTGGGACACCTAACCAGAATGCCCCCAAAACAACTAGCGGCTAGAGCTAACAACACCCGAGAATCCGGCTTTAAACCAAGAGGAAGACCAAGAAAAACCTGGTTGGATGGGGTTAAAAAGGTCCTGGAACAACATAACACTATCTATCACAGACGCTACACACCTAGCACAGGACCGAAACTTGCACCTCCCCTCGACATCCTAAGGACACCAGAGGAAGGAAAAAGTAAAGTAAGATTAAATAGCAACACAATTCGGTCATATAGCTTAATATAAGGGCTAAAGATTAGAGGTGTTTCAAGAGAGCAACAAACAAAACACAATAAAACAAAACAAAAATAAAGGAGGAGAGATAAGGACGATCGACGTTTGATAGGAAAGAAGAAGCAAACCATACAAGAGCAATTGCCAACCCCCTGCACTTTATGTTTTAAAAAAGCCTTGGTCAGCACAAAACAATGTTAAATAGTCTGTTGTTTCTTTCAGGAAGAATGACCCAATTACTTTGCCGATGGATTTTTTAAATCTGTACTTTTCGTTTTTGTTGGCAGCTGGCCTCCAGACCTGGTGCACTTTGTTAAGGAATTTGTCCTCACGCTGAGGTTCAAGGTTTGTATTTCAATGGGGTTCAAAACACGTTTCTCATTTAGAAAAATTTCCCTCTCAAATCGGTAAACAAATAATATGGAACAGAAAGGTCTTTCTCCTTTTTTCAAGCCCCATCTCCCCCCCCCCTCTTCTCTCTCTCTCTCTCTCTCTCTCTCTCTCTCTCTCTCTCTCTCTCTCTCTCTCTCTCTCTCTCTCTCTCTCTCTCTCTCTCTCTCTCGTATATAAAGTAGGTTTGATGGTGGTGATGGCTACGAGGTTGGCGTCATCATTGAACATCGTGTCTTTTCATCGTAAAACCATCAAACCAACATATAGAAATAGTACGCTTAAACCTAATTATACTCAGAGTTCCTCATAATAACATTCACACAGTAAAAAAAAATCGTTTCACTGTCATTTCTGAGTCCTTGCAAAAACATTGAACCCCGCCCCTATTAGGTCCAGTTTTTTGAGCTAACGTTTTTTTTACAAAGCCCTGGGAGCAGCCCTCGCTATCACGAATTCTGCTAGGTGACAATGTCATGTTCAGTGTTCAGAGGACAGGTTTATGACCCCGTAATCTCATCCGTGTTGCTTCCACCTGACATGGCAATATTTCGTGTCCATCTGTTGAAGAATCCTGTTGGGTTTTCGACGAGTTGGTACAATCATGAACTGTTATGCTTGATAGAAACTAAGATAATATTAATTATTTTGCTCTAAAAGAAGGAATAAGGATACTTTAACCAGCTACACATCTATTCCAACCTAAGCTGGGACATCCGTTCCATTTGTAAAGCAAGCTTATTACTGGCTTGCTCTTCGAGCAACAAAAAAAGGCTCTCATGCCGAGCGTCTCGTCTAAAAGAGCTTGGTGTAAGAAGCCGTATTGTTGTCCTTCACACATGTAACTCCTTCCAATCGGAAATGAACACTAAGTGGAAAATACAGTCGAACCTGTGTAAGACGGCCATCCATTGTCGAACAGAAAAGTGGCCATATAAGTCAGGTGGCCGTCTTAGGCAGGACTGATCAAGAGGAAGAAAACAAACAATTCCTTTCTGAGGTACCAACGAAAGTACTCGCATTGTTGATGCTGTTGTTGTTGCTGTCGTTATTTTCTTTGGATTGTTTTTTGTTTGCGTTTTTTATATTTTGTTGCTGTTTTTGTGCAAGGGTAACAACAAAACGAAATGTGAGGCAGCGTGGTGGAATCAGGCTCTCGTCAATTTTTGGGCATGTAGAGTTATTGGTATCATCTTAAAGCTTGTTCACTTGTCTTTATTTGGATAAAAAAATATCCATTTATCTTGAATATAAGTTGAGATATTTGCGAAAGAATGAGATGTGGGTCACCTGTTTTCAGAGGTAAAATAAGTGAGAAAATGGCTACCAAAGACTAGTTATTTCCTTAGCTTGAGAGTACGTGGTAACTGAAAATTTAAATTTTTTGTTCCTTTAATCAACGTTTTTGAGAAAAATCCACAAAGAAATGAGTTTTTTAAAGGGCATAAAAGGTGTTGAGCCAAAAAACAAAAATTTGATAACAATTCACAAACCTGCGGAAAAATGCAAGTTTCTTCACTTTGATTATTTTGACGAGAGCCTGATTCCACCACACTGTCTCACAAATGTGTCAGACGAGTAAGACTGAGTGCAATGTTAAAACAAGCACATGGGTCGCCACCAATTGGAGAACGAGCGACGCTTCTGTCGCAAGTTCATGTTCACGTCCATTGTTGCTTTGTAATGTTACAGGCTGGGTAAAAACAGTGACCACTCATCTCACTTACGATTTGTGTATGAGTTCTGGGCGGGGCTTATGGGTCATGAGGGATCACAATGACATGCTGACGATGTCTTACCTCACCAGTCACCAGCAGCTGAAAATTTGTTACCTCCAAGTAGCATTGGTTACCTCTTAGTCAACAGTGGGAGGGGCCAACGCAACATGTTCGGTTGGAGGGACTACCTAACAACAACGACAGGTTATTGGATTATGACGGCTTGCCCACAACGCCAGGGGCCAATGCAAAATTTATGACAAAACGTAATGAAGTCACTGACGTGGCCGTCAGGGGTTATTGTTTTGTGTGACTGGGGTTGTTAGTGAAAATATATTTTATATCAAAAGGACCAGACAAATCCTTGATAATATTTAATTTATACGAAAAGGCCTATCTAGCCTTCTTCTTTCGTTCTTCTCCTCATCGTCCACCACATCATCGTCGTTGTCTTCCTCCTCCTCCTCCTCCTCATCCTCCTCCTAAGACTCTTAAAGATCCAACCTCAGCCATAGGTTCCACCCACCCCGTCATTAAGTTTCTTTAACAAACACTTATCCACTTGATCTTCTTCTTCTTCTTCTTCTTCTTCTTCTTCTTCTTCTTCTTCTTCTTCTTCTTCTTCTTCTTCTTCTTCTTCTTCTTCTTCTTCTTCTTCTTCTTCTTCTTCTTCTTCTTCTTCTCCTTCTTCTTCACCACCACCTCCGCCTCTACTTTCTCTCATTACTACATCATCCTTTTTCACGAAACGTTTCCAGCTAAAATAAAGCAACAGGGTTAACTCTCACCAGTGATACTGTGGCGTCCAAAAGAATCTGGAAAATGTTATTACCAATTCAGTGCATTAAAGACTTGCATTACCTACTCGTGCAGCATACCAATTGAAAGTTTAATTCTGCATCTTCAGACACATTAATAGTTTATCTATGTTAAGAGACCCCCGAGATGTGGTCACTCAAAATGGCCTTAAAAATCAGACTTGGCAAAATTGTGCGAAATCAAACAAACGTAAAATTGTCTTCGCGCGAGTACTAAAGAGCACAATATTGATAGAATGGGCATACATTACATACCCAATAAATGGAGAATTTTTATATTGCAATGAACAATATTCTGTTTTGATATTTTGTAACGAAAGTTTCAAACAAAAATCAGAAGATGCTGTTCATTGCACAGACAATATGTGAGGTGTGCTGACAAAATGAGTTACTTCTCGGATTTTAGTATTTATGGAAATTTATACATCAACTTGATAGCTGAAGTTTGTGCAATTTGTGAGCATGGAATAGTAAAAGACACAGTAAAACTTGAACAAAATGGCATCAATTGAAGATCTATAAATCTGACCCCATGTGTCAATTTTCAGCCGATATCGCCATTCTTGGATCGTGAGAAGTAACTCATTTTGTCGGCACATCTCACATATTGTTCTCTTTTTAATTGATATTAAATACATGTCCTTTCCACCAATGTTGATGCACTTCAATATACGCGCGAACACACTTTTGCGTTTCTCTGATATCGCACAATTTTGCCAAGCCTGACTTTGTACGGTCAGTTTTGAGTGACCGCACCTCGGACGTCTCTTAACATAGATGAAGTATGGATGATGTGTTGATGTTGATGTACAATTTATTATTCAGCTTTAAATGGTTTCCTCCTCCTCCTCCTCCTCCTCCTCCTCCTCCTCCTCCTCCTCCTCCTCCTCCTCCTCCTCCTCCTCCTCCTCCTCCTCCATCTCCTTCTTCTTCTTCTTCTTCTTCTTCTTCTTCTTCTTCTTCTTCTTCTTCTTCTTCTTCTTCTTCTTCTTCTTCTTCTTCTTCTTCTTCTTCTTCTTCTTCTTCTTCTTCTTCTTCTCCTTCTCCTTCTCCTTCTCCTTCTCCTTCTTCTTCTTCTTCTTCTTCTTCTTCTTCTTCTTCTTCTTCTTCTTCTTCTCCACCATCACCTCCACCTCCTACTTTCTCTCACTTCTACATCATCATTAATTTTCACGCAACGTTGCCGGTTAAAATGAAACGAAAGGGTTAACTTTCACCAGCGAGAATATAACAACAACATACGTGTTGAGTCATAAGTTATTCGCCATTGTCATCCGGATCGGTCAGTTTAGTGACACTGTAGCGCTGTGGTAGGAGGAAGCAAGTCAATATGAGGTAAGCTTTGGAAAGTTCTTTGATTCTCTTCACTTATGTATTTGGAAGTCTTTAGAGAGCGGATGGCTGCATTGGGCTTGATAAAATAATGCATGACAATACTTATTTTATTCGAAAATACTTCCTTAGCCTTCTTTTTCTCCTCGTTTTTCTCGTCGTCGTCGTCGTCCTATTCCTCCTCCTCCTCCTCCTCCTCCTCCTCCTCCTCCTCCTCCTCCTCCTCCTCCTCCTCCTCCTCCTCCTCCTCCTCTTCTTTCTCTTCCCCCTTTTTCTTCTTTTTCTTCTTCTTCTTCTTCTTCTTCTTCTTCTTCTTCTTCTTCTTCTTCTTCTTCTTCTTCTTCTTCTTCTTCTTCTTCTTCTTCTTCTTCTTCTTCTTCTTCTTCTTCTTCTTCTTCTTCAAGTGGATTCATTTCTACATCGTAATTTTCACATAACGATACCAGTTAAAATGAATCAAATTGGACGGAAACGAAGTATGTAAAGGAGGCAATAGAAATACATAACGACAACATTCGTGTTCGGTTATAAGCTATTCGCTAGAGGTGGGCGAAATCCGGATAATCCAAAAGGATAACCGGATAATTCTCAATGAAACATTATCCGATTTAGGACTCTTAACTCTCTTTCCTGTCCTGTTTGCCGAAGTGGGTGCACCCATTTGTTGAAGTAGTGCTAACCCTTTTGTCAAAGTGGTTCTAACCCATTTGCCGAAGCGGTTCATATCATATTTTTAGCCGAAGAGGTGCACTAAAATATTATCCGGATTTTGCTGAAGCGACTTTTTGCCCAGCTCTACTATTCGCCTTTAGTGACCCGAGCTGTGTGTGTAGCGACACTGTAGCGCACCAGACAGAAGCAGGACGTGCAAGTCATCATAAGGTAGGGTTTTTGAACTCTAGATTACGTTACACTTATGATGTATTTGAAAGTCTTTTATTTTGTATGTTTCGTAAGAGTTTTACAGCACTTGCAACACAATGGGTTCATAAAAGTGCCGAAGATTAGAGCAGCCAAAGAAAAGGGAGAGAGAGAGAGAGAGAGAGAGAGAGAGAGAGAGAGAGAGAGAGAGAGAGGAGAGAGAGAGAGAGAGGAGAGAGGAGAGAGGGAGAAAGAGAGAGGAGGGGAAACGGAAAAAAGAGAGGGATAAAGATAAGAGTGATTCATAGGATAGAAGGAGCAACAGCAAATTACACCAGAGCAAACATCATCCTTCCTGTGAAAGTCTTTATAAGAGAGCGAATGCCTGTGTGTGTCTGTGTTCGTGTATATGTATGTAAGGATATTTTATGTGCGTGTGTCGTATGCTTATCTAAGCTTGGAGTAGATGTTAGCATCTGGGAAGAAATAGCTGAAGACAGGAAAACATGGTGGAAACTGATAAAGGAAAGAACTATAATGCTAGAGAGCAGCTTTAGAAACCACCAGGCTGAGAAGCGCCAACGACGAAAGGAAAACAGCGGAAATACAGAACTTCGATCTACGTCACTGACATGCAAGCACAGAATCTGTGCTTCAAACATAGGAAGAATTAGCCATGAAAGAAGCTGCATGAAGACAACCTTGAGACCATCTTAAGCTAAGCTAAATTAACCGTCTGCATAGACGAAAAGAGCCATCGTATGTTTATTAGTGCTTATGTGTGTGTGTATGTTTGTGTGTGTGTGTGGGTGGGGGGGCTCTTTGTGTGCGCGCTGGTTCGGGCGTACATAATGTGTTGTCCTGTATGCACATGTGTTGTTACTTTCCTTAGTACTAAAAGTTCCTCAGTGAAGGATGCGGAAAGTAATAACAATTGGGAAAGATGTGGCGAATTTCGCGTTGACATGTGAATCCCCCTTCCTCCCCTTCCCTGAGGGGGGTCAAGGATTGTGTACAACATAAATGTGAGGCAGCGTGGTGGAATCAGGCTCTCGTCAATTTTTGGGCACGTAGAGTTATTGGTATCATCTTTAAGCTTGTTCAGCTGTCTTAATTGGGATGCGAAAACTATCCATTTATCTTGAATACAAGTCGAGACATTTGCAAAAGAAGGAGGTGGGAGTCGCCTGTTTTCAGAGGTAAAATTAGTGAGAAAATGGCCCCCAAAAATCGTTATTTCCTTAGCTTAAGAGTCCGTGGTAACTGAAAATTTACATTTGTTGTGCCTTTAATCAGCGTTTTTCGGAAAAATCCACACAGAAATGAGTTCTTTAATGGGCATGAAAGATTTTGAACTAAAAGGAAAAAAAAAGATAAAAATTCACAAACCTGCGGAAAAATGCAAGTTTCTTCTCTTTCATTATTTTGACGAGAGCCTGATTCCACCACGCTGCCTCACATGTGTCAACAAGTTGTATCTTTCCTGTCTGAGAAGAATGTCGCGCGCTCATATGTCCTTACGCAGTTGCGAGCGCCGTAAAACCCTATACTA